AGGAGGAGGAGGAGGAGGAGGAGGAGGAGGAGGAGGAGGAGAGGGCGACCGGGCCAGAGCAGCCCAGGCAGGCAGGAATGGTCTTGGACACCAGCAGGGTTCTTAAGCCGCCTACATGCAAGTGCGGCTCCAGGCTCCTTATCTAAATGCAGATTGTATAACAGATAAATATTCATGTGCCCGGATTCTGCTGCGCACACATGAACAGATGAGGCTGTGCTCGGGCCACGCGGCTCCTGCTTACAGAGCAACTTCTGCCTCTGCGGGGGCGGCCGCTACCCCGGCCACCCGCGGGGAGAGAGACACAGCGAGGGGCGGCCCTTGTGGCTGGCCCTGGGGGAACCACCCGGGCTGGGCTCTCCAGATGTTGAGCAAAGCCCTGGCCTCTCCTTGTGGGCTTCCCCCCCCTCGCAGCATCACTGGGGGGGGGCTGGTTTTGGGACTTGCGGGCTGTGCCTCCCGGCCTGGCCCACGCCTCCCCCCATTCTCCCAGGTCGAAAGGAAGCCTTCTCCCCCCTCCCCCAGTCGCTGACACCGTTTGGGCCATTCTCAAGACCCCGGAGAGCTGGCAGGAGTCTTGGTGGGGGGTGGGGAGTGGTGCTCCAGTGCTGGCGGGGGGCACTCTGACATGGCTCTCCGACAGCTCCGTGGACGGAACAGATCCACGTGTTTCTTTATGGGTGGCAGTGGGCAAACCATTCCTTCTGGGGTGGCAGTCCAGCGGCTGCCCTGCCCTGTGCCAGCTGGGCTCCTGGTCCAGAGTGCCGGATGAAGATTCTGGCGGAAACCCCGCCCCCCTCTGCCCTGGAAGCTGGCAGGGGGCACCAAGGCCGATCTCTGCTCTCTTTCACTCTTAGCCTCGCCTACCTCGTGGGGCTGTTGTGGTGACGACACTGATGTTGTAAGCAATGCTCCCTCTAAGCTGTGGCGTCTTGTGAGCAAAAATTCTACTTTGTGAGCTACTGGCATTAAAGTTGTGAGTGAGTGATTTGGCTGTTGCATAAATCAGTTTGCTCTGGAGTCCCATCCTTCCTGAACTGAGACAAAAATGTGTGAGCTGGAGGCTAAAAAACTGTGAGCTAGCTCACACTCACTCGGCTTAGAGGGAACACTGGTCGTAAGCTGTGTGGAGTCACCGTTGGGGACACGAGGGGGGTATAAATACAGAGCTGAAAGAGAGGCGGAGGCAGCCCGCCCACAAGGCAGACCCCGGCGGCATCAGAGAGACACGGAGGGCCCTGGAGAGTGGGTGGATGGGTGGAGGCACCAAAAGATGCAGCCCTGAGCGGCATACCTTGCTGCCCCCCCCCCCGGTCATCTCCTGCCCCAGTGAAAGCGCAGGAGGAAGCACAGGAGGAAGCGCCGGTGGCTCCCTGCTCCCGAGTGCTGGCCTCCCCCCCCCATCTGTGGTGGCCACAGTGACTGGCCCCGCTTGCTTTCTGCTGGCCGGGAGGGGCGGGGAGGGGCACGGCTAGGGGGCCAAAGCCCTCCTCGCGCTGGCCCTGACTCGGGGTGTGTGTGTGTGTGCGTGTGTGCGGATTCCGCCGCTCTTCTGACACAGGAATGCTCTTCTGTCCTGAGAGGAAGGTCGGAGTCCTCCAGGGGGGATATCATCCCAGGTAAAAGCCTGGCTGGCTTTTGAGGAGCCGGCTGCCGGGTGGAGACCAGTGCTCCCCCCCCCATCGAGCGGTTCCCCACCAGTGGACCTGCAGTGACCACTTCCGCCCAGCGCTCTCTGGCCACACTCCCTTCGGGGCTTCTGCCTTTGGCTGGACGGCCTCTGCGCTCCGGCCCTTCGCTTCAGAGAACGTTCTGGGAAGATTGGGCAAGCACTTCCTCAAGTGTCAGCCCTGAGTAGAGCCACACCGCCTCGGATGTGTGTGTGTGTGTGTGTGTGTGTGTGACATGCGTCAGAGACCGGAGGGCTGAACCTCTCCTGGGTTCATGATGAACTCTCATGTTTGACTCATGAGTAGAGAGACTTCTCAGACTCCCTCTAGTGCTCTGACAAGATCCCAGGACCAACCTGTCTGCAGCCTGCTGGGGTCAGGCCGTTCTTTTAGGGGAACCGCACCGGGCCCTGGGCCCTATCTGGCCCTTCCCAGCCACTTTGCGTTGCCAACCTCCAGGCGGCACCTGGAGATCTCCCATCAGCAGATGGAGCTGAGATCTCCGTCAGCAGCTGGAGCTGAGGCTTGCGAGGGATGCTAAAAACAACAAGAACAATTTCTGTGCCTATGTTTGGAGCAAAAAGAAGAACAGGGATGGAGTAAGCTCATTGCTGTCAGGTTCAATAGATCAGTTGCAGTCCACAACGGTTCATAAGGATAGATTGCAAGTCACTATTGAGACACTTTCATGGCCATTGTCAGGAATGAAACTCAAAGCCAAGCAGGTACAGATATAGACAGTTCAAACAAAAAGGGTTAGCCAATGAATACAGTTCGCGCTCAGCAGGGATTTGAGCGGGAGAAAACCAAGGCGGGAGATGGCCTTTCAGCCGTTTGGTTCACACCAGCCAGATTGGGAACGGCCCCATCAACAGTTCTCACAGTCTTATCTACTACAAAGGCAGCAAAACATTCCAAGGTCAAAATAAGAGGCAAAGCGCACAGGGAGGATGAGAACAGAGAAATGCAGGCTAATCCCCCCCCTCCGCCATCATACAGCAGGCAGGTTACACAGAGCATACCCAGAATACAAATGGCAGTTTACTGACAATTGCTAGGGGAAGACGGTCAAGCCTTAACAAGGGATGAAGACAAAGCGGAATTACTCAACTCTCACTTTGCGTCAGTCTTTAACCGTAAGGCGAGCTGTATGCAAACTGAAGAATGCAGGGCATATGAAGGAAGGAGGAACGACCAGTCCAGAGTAAGTAAGGAAATGGTTAGAGAGCATCTAGCTGCCTTAAATACTTTCAAATCTCCAGGGCCGGATGGCTTGCATCCCAGGGTGCTAAAAGAAATTGTGGATGTTATTTCAGAGCCTCTGGCTCTAATCTTTGAGATGTCCTGGAGTACTGGTGTTCTGCCGGAAGATTGGAAAAGAGCAAATGTTGTCCCAATCTTCAAGAAGGGAAAAAAGACAGACCCGGGAAAATTACAGGCCTGTCAGCTTGACATCAGTACCTGGGAAAATTCTAGAGCAGATTATTAAAGCACGAAAGGGGCCGACGAAGGCGGGTTGCGCCCCTGCCGGCTGCGCAAGGCACTGCAAGGCAAGCCACTGCTCTCCCCTGCTCCGCCGCCGAAGTTGAACCCCCCTTCTCCTCCTCCTGGACTACGGCACCCAGGCCCGTAGCTCGCATGGGGCCCGCCCCCCCGTGGGTTTTGCGGGCCCCCTCCCCCAATCCTCTGCTCCCCCTCCCCCTCCCCCCGATCACCATGGAGCGCTTCAGGCTCCCCAACTGGGGAGGAGGAACCGGTGAAGCCGGCCGGGACACGTGGGCAGGCGCGGGGGGCGGAGGTGGCTTCTTAGGCAGCGCCAGGCACCGGTACAGGGCCCAGTTGGAGTGAGCCAGCTATTAATTGGCAGTCCACACTGGGAAGGGGGGCAGTGGACACCAGTCTGGGCTCCGAAGTTCGGCGGCGGCGTTGCCCTTCAGGGGCGGCTGCTGCTGCCGTTCCCGGGTGCCAGCGCATGCAGAGAGGCGAGGGGGAGGCAGCTGCGGAGCTGGGTTCGCCAGGGTGGCGTCCTTCCCATGCCAGGCGCCCTAGCTCACGCGGCCCCCTCTCGTCCCCGCGGAACGCTGCTGCCTCGGCGGGTCCGCGCCAGGGCTGCCTTCTCCAGCTGCTTGCCTCCCGCCTGGAGCCCGGCACCCGGGTGCGTCTCCTGGAGGAAGGAGAGCCCCACCGCAAACTTCTCGCCAGGCAGGACAACTTGTGGGAATGGCGGCGAGGAAGAAGCCTCCGCTCCCCCGCCTGCCTGCCTGCCCGTCTCGACTCTTCCCAAGACAACCTGCTGCTGCTGCTCCCTCCCTCTTTCCTTCCCTGGCCCCGCGCCTCTGACCTGCGCGTGCACTTCCCCAGCCGGCTGAGACGAAGGAGAGGGGGAGCCTCCCCATGTTCCCCCACTGATTAGTCGGCCGGCAGCCGGGAAGGAAGGCACGCGCCCCGGGGCTGCAGAGTAGCGGAGTCCCAGCGCCCGCTCTGGAACGGGGTGGGGTAGGGGTGAAGATTTTCTTTAAGGAGTGTGAGCCATGGAGCATGCATGGCGAGCCAGTGTGGTTGGAGGGTTGGACTCAGACCTTGGAGATGCGGGGGTTCGAAGAGGCCCACACTCTCTGCCATAATAAAGCTTACTGGGTGACCTTGAGCCAGCCACTGCCTCTTCGCCCCTCACCCGCCCCGCAGGGCTATTGCGAGACGAGGAGGCTGCTGCCATGCCCAGCAGGCTGCCAGCCGAGAAGGCGCAGGTGGTGGACGACTACCTCCAGCACCACCTGGGCGGACAGCTTGGCGCTGCCCCCCAGCCGCACGGCCAAGACCCTGCGGCGGGTGGCAGATGAGCTGGAGAGCCACGCGAAGACGTTCTTCTGCTCGGCTTGCAGCCCTGCGGCCTCAGAACCCGGCGGGACGGCCGCCCACTTGAGCTGGGTGGCGGCGCAGATGGAAGCCGACGGCGGCCTGAACTGGGGCCGGGTGGTGGCGCTGGTCGTGTTCACCGGCAACCTGGTGGCTGCGCCGGCCGAGCAGGGGCCCACGAGGTCGGTGCCCTGGCCGAGGTGCTGGTTGCCTATCTGGCAGGGCAGAGCGAGTGGCTGGAGGCGCACGGCGGCTGGATAAGAACGGGGAGGGGGAGGAGGCGAGGGGGGCGTGCTCATGCTTCTCCTGCTGCTTCTGCAGCATCGCTTGCCTGCCGCGGCGGCCGCAGCCTTCTCCAACCCAGCCCTTTCGCAATGGCTACGCTTCCGTCCAGCTGCACTCCAGGTGATGTGTGTGCGGCACGAGCGCATGCACACTCCAGCCACAGTCCGGGAGTCCCCCGGTACGGCAACCCTAGGTAAGAACGATGCTTGCTGCCCCCCCCACTTTCCCAGGGCCTCCCCCCACTAAAAAGGTCCTAGCTACGGCCCTGCAGGTCTCGGTCCTAGGCCCGGTGTTCTTCAATGTTTTTATAAATGACCAGGAGGAAGACATAGAGGGGATGCTTATCAGATTTGCAGTTGACACAAAGTTGGGTGGGACTGCTAATTCTGAAGAAGACAAAGTCAGGATTCAAAATGATCTAGATAGGCTGGAACAGTGGGCGGAGACAAATAAAATGAATTTCAATAGAGATAAATGCAAAGTCCTACACTTACGTACAAAAATTCAAAGGTATAGATATAGAATGGAAGGGACTTGGCTTGGCAGCAGCTGTTCTGGTTGATCACAAGCTAAACATGAGCCTGCAGTGTGATGTGACTGCGAAGAAAGCTAATGCAATCTTAGGATGCATTAACAGAAGCATTGTGTCCAGATCAAGGGAGGTGGTCGTTCCGTTCTATTCTGCTATGGTCAGGCCTCACCTGGAGTCCTGTGTCCAGTTTTGGGCACCACATTTTAGGAAGGATGTTGACAAGCTCGAGCGTGTCCAGAAGAGGGCAAGCGGGATGGTGAGAGGGTTGGAATCCAAGTCTTAGCAGGAAAGGCTGAAAGAGTTGGGTATGTTTAGCCTGGGAAAGAGAAGGCTTAGAGGGGACAGGATTGCAGTCTTCAAGTATCTGTAGGGCTGTCCTGTAGAAGATGGAGCAAATCTATTCTCTCTTGCTCGGGATTGCAAGACTGGAGATCGAATGGGTGGGAATTACAAGGGAGTCGCTACCGGCTAAATACCAGGAGACACTTCCTGACTGTCAGAGTGGTTGAGCAGTGGAACAGTCTGCCTCGGGAGGTGGTGGATGCTCCTTCGCTGGATGTTTTCAAGCGGAGGCTGGACGACCATCTTTCGGGTATGTTGTAGGTATGTAGGGCTCTCTTTCGGCTGTGGTCCTGCAGAGTGCAGGGGGTTGGACTAGATGACCTGCAAGACCCCTTCCTACTCTAACATTCTATGATTCTATGGTTATTACAATTGACCTTCAGACGACCACGATCCGTTCCGCTGGAGAAAATGGTTGCTTTGGAGGGTGGACTTTCTGGCATTACACCCTGTTCCTCCCCCAGGCCCTGATATGGTGCCAGGGCAGCCTTACCCCCACCGGGGCTCCAGAGGTCAGTGTGCCCCCCCCGTTCCTCCCCTTTCCAAGCGCCCATGCCTGCCGCGGCATTGCTGGCCTTGGCTTTCCTTCAGAAGCACACCAAAGTGTGTTTGTGTGTGTGTGTGGGGGGGGGGACGGACTAGAGGGCCTCTTATCGAGGAGTAGCCACCTCCCAACAGCAGAGTGCTCTCTCAGCCAAACACGCTGACCCCACAAACCGTGCCCCACTCCCAGGGGCCTTCACGGGTCGCCACCCAAAGCAGGCCCTGCAGCCCTTCTGGGGGGCAGAGGTTGGTTTTCATCCTGAGAACAGCTTCTCCGTGGACGATGGGCGGCTTTTCTGGACCCACCGGGCACACGTGGTCTGGGTAGCAGCAGCCCTGACTGACTTTCACACCAGAAACTGAGCCCCCGGACTCTGCAGGACACGATGTGCGGTTGAGGTGGGCCTCTGCTTCGGGGGTGGGGGAGTGGTCAGGTCAGCCCCCCGAAGAGTTTCCCGAGCAAGAGAGGGGCAGAGGTCGTTTTGCCATTGCCTGCCCCCCACCCAGCGGCCCTGGGCTTCCTGGGGTGTGTGTGTGTGGGTGTCTCCCACCCAAGCACTCACCAGGGCCGAGCCGTGCTCAGTCTCCCCGGGCGAGCGGATGAGACCGGGCTAGCCTGGGGCGTCCAGCTGCAGTCAGGCCTCTGCTTGGACCCCCTCCGCCCTCCGTGTGTCTCTCTGGCTCTCTGGCAAGCGCCACTCTCTCTTGGCAGCCTCTGACTCAGGCCCAGCTGCAGCGTGTTCCTCCTCCACCTCCCGGCTGATTCAACTGGGCTCTCCTTCCTCTTGCTCCATTTAGTTGTCTCAGCCGTGAGTGAGTGGCGGAAAGGTGATGGTAATTGAACGTCGCAGGGAAGGGATCACACCCTGACCTGATGGTTTTCCTGCCCTGGCCTTCCAGGGAACCTGGTTGTGCCCTGTTTCACATCCTCCTCCTCCTCCTAAGTGGTGGTGGGCCCCCCCCTTTTTTAACAGGTCACTCCAGAGAGCTGCACTTGTGCGCTGCAACGGGTTGCCTTGAATATCCCCAAGACAGAGGGAGGGGGCAGCAGTGCAGGAAAAAAACCTACCATGGGCGCTTGGAGGAGGGGCTGACCCATCCAAGCACAAACCATGCAGCGCTCAGCCATGGGACTCACCCCCCACCCCACCCGTGGGGTCCGTGCACACACATTGTGACTCCCTGTCACAGGTCAGGCTGCAGCAGGAACCTTGTTCGGAGGGTCTGATCCCACCAGAGCGCACACCTCTTGGGCCATGGCTGTGAGGAAGGAGGAAGGAGAAGAAGAGGCTGGATTCATACCCCGTGGCCCTTCACTACCCAAAGGTGTCTCAGAGCGGCTGACAAACTCCTTCCCCTTCCCTTTCCCCACAACAGACAGACACCCTCCTGTGAGGGACAACCGCCCTTGGGGGAGCCCAAGGCCACCCAACTGGCTGCCCGTGCAGGACCTGGGCTTCGCTTACAACACAGGCCTCCGTCTGCCACTGCTGCGGCCTTACTTTCCAACTTCCTAGCCATCCTCTCAGCTGCTGTGAAATGTGAGGGATGCACACCTCCCTCGACAGCCCTCCCCCGCCAGATCCTCCATCCCTGTTCCAAGGGAAGAGTGGCTGGTCACAGCGCCTCTGCCCCAGCTGCACCTGTTGGGCCTGACTGCTTCACCCAGCACTGCAGCCTGCTTGATGGCCACTTTCCAGCAGGTTCACAGTGCCGGGATTCAGCAAGAACTCTGCAGTGGCTTTTCAGGCAGGAGCCAGTTGCTGTTTCATTCCAAGGACTCAGGAGTGAGCCAGGTCCAAAGACAGGGCAGGAAATCTATGAGTGCCTTTCTATTGCTTTGCACATTCTAAGTTATACGCTCTCTCTCTCTCTCTCTTTGCCAACCCGCTAGGCAAGTGCGGGAAGCACTGGAGCAACTTGGCCCAGGAGCCACCCGCGGTGGAAGCTGGTGCAACTTAGGAGATGTTTGCCAACCTTCCCTTGCAGCCTCTGCCCCCCCCCCCGCACGGGGAGTCCTGGCATCTAGTGAATTGGGGGCAGGATTTTACCTTTGGTTTGTTAACTATTTTGATGAAATCTTTAACCACCAAATGGCTGCAATTTCCATTGTGAAAGGGCTGCAGGAAGCTGATTCATTTTTCCTTGAGATTGTACCAGAAATGTGACACACACACACCCAAACCCCTGCCTGCCCCTGAGCCAGAGGAAGCCATAAGTCATCCATCCAGCTTGAAGGTGCCACAGGAGGACTCCGTGTCCTTCTGTCCGTCCCCGGGTGCCCAGAAGGTCTCTCGGTCTGGCACGCTCTCACCCCGGAAGGGAAGGCTGCCTGTTGCCCACTGGAAACAGAACGAGCCCTCAGTTCAGGAAGGGGCGGGCGGTCTGTGACTCCCTCTCCTTCATACTGACTGGAGGTGGGAGAGCAAGAGGGGCCAGCAGACCTCTCGGACATCCACTCCTGGTCGAGCAGTGCTGGTGGGCTCCAGGGGTCTGCCGTCTGCTTGGCCCCTTTGCAGGCCCGCTTGGGAAGCCATCAGTCCGGCCTCTGTGTTTATGCAGTCAAATGTTTGCCTGTCCCCTTCTTTAGGAAAGGGGATCGTTATCCGTGTTAAGATCTTTGAAAACCTGCCATGGGGAAGAGGTGGTTTACTCCTCTCTCTCATTCCAGCTCATCAGCACTGCGCCTCGTAAACCCACGCAGCCGGTTTCCCCTGCGAGAGAGAGAGAGAGAGAGAGACCTCAGTGAGAGGCGGCCACGTGCCTGTCTGAGCAGAAGGTGGCGAGTGGCTCCCACGGAAGTCTTGCCTGCTGGCAGATGATGGGTGCTTGCAGGCGGCCTTAATGAGCCGGCTGAGCTGGAGGAAAGGGACAACAGCCTGGTACATATTCAGAGATCACACAATGAGATACAGGAGAGCAGCCGATTACTGCGCAGGCAATCCACAGGGCAGAGGGAGAGCTCCCAGAGGAACAGCCGCCGGGAGGGAGCCCCGTTGACCTATTTCCTGCCAGAGGAGCACAAAACAGGCACCACGTGTGCCCTCTGCAGGCAGGAGGAGGCCTGTGGCTGCGTGGCCGTGGCCTCACATTCAGCGTGGCTGTTTGGCTTTTCAGCAGCTCAGGTTGCTTCCACAGGGGGGCTCCCCCCGTCCTGCAGCCACATGCCCAGTGGGAAGCCTCCTCCCGGGTACTCAGGAGCTCCAACCTGGGGACGAGCTGTCTGGCACTCCCCGTGGAAGCAGCCACAGGCAGACCTCCTACGGCGTGGCCCTTTTCTCGGTGCTGAAAGGCCCCGGGGCCAGCAAAATGGCGGTGGCGGCGGCTGCCGGCGGACAGAGAGCGGATGGCTCCGCCAGGAGCCCACGTCCCCGAGTCAAGGAGGGTGAGCTCATCTGGTCGGCCGAGGAAGGAGGCAGAGAATGGCTCCCCAGCAACCCAGCAGGGTGGGGACGCAGCCCCTGTTCCCATTGGGGTCTTTGAAGGAGAGGGGGAGGAGCCAGCGATTCCCATGAGGGCTCAGTGTCGGAGGGCCCTTCTCCAGAAACCCCGACTGACTGGCTGGGGCTGGGGGTGGGGGCCAGACCGTGTCCATCAAATGCACGTGCACCCCCCCCCCAGGTGTCCCCGATAAGAGGGGCACAATGTGGCACGTTGCTCAGGAAAGGCAGGCGGTCTGCTGGGGATGTGGCCCTCGGGCCCCCAGGGCTGGAAAATGTCCCAAGAGCTTCGCGGAGCCGCTCTCAGGGAACCCGTCGGGTCACACACACACGCGCGCGCACCCCGTCCGCCACCAGGCGAGGGCCCGCCAGCCCGCCTCCCCTGCTGGTGCTCAGCGCTTCTGAGGCTTGCCGCCAGGGCTCCGAGCAGGGCTTCTGCTAGGGGAGCTGAGCGTAGGGGTTCAGCCGGGGAGTGCAGGAGAGGAGAACGCCTCCAATCTGACTTTCCTGAGGAAGGGCACACAAGCTCCACATCAGCACAGAGGGCGGCGTGTTGCTGTAGCTCTCCTGCTACGGAAACCTGCCCTCGGTCAGGTAAGCAAGCACCCCATCTCACTCCGCATGGAGGCTCTTGGGGCTCAGGGAGCAGGCGAGGGCTGCTGACCCGGCTGAGAAGCTGAGAGGCAGAGAGGCAGAGAGAGAGAGAGGTTTGGGGGAGAGACCCTCGGGGACTCAGCGGAACAGTCCCGCTCCTGTGCTGACAGCTCTTCTGCTGTTGTGGAGAGGGAGGGTCTCGAGGTCGGAGGGCCTCCGTCTAAGGAGGAGGAGGAGGGATGCGATCCCTTAGAAGGGACCCCTTCCATGGTCTCTCTGGCCAAGGATGCCTCTATGGGGTTGGGGGGAGGTGGGCCGTTGGTGATTCGATCAGAGAGTGGGGTCTGTGACAGGCAGTATGACCGCATGGTGACTTGCCTGCCTGATGCAAAGGTTGCGGACATCACATGCTGTCTAGATAGGTGGTGGTGGTGGTTGTTATTATTATTAATTTGATTTCTGAATCACCCAATCACTGCTCACACAGGGCTCTGGGTGATGTACAACAATATATATATATATATAACATAAAAACAGTAGAATTAAAATACACTGAACGATGAATTACAAATACACTGAAAAGGATCCAAGATGGTGTGACCATATAATTTCTTCCCAGCCTGGACTGTACCACCTCCTCACGGGCAAGGAAGAGGGGGGGACACAAAAACAAGTCTGGAGGGAAAGGAGAGGGTGCCCGCCGTGACGTTCCGATGGGCGAACGGGAGGGCTGTGGGCTGGACCATAGCACAGTTCGGTGGAGAGGGAGCTGGCTAGTGGACCGCACCCGAAGAGTGGGGGTCAGTGGCGTTGCATCGGATTGGAGGGAGGTGTCCAGCGGGGTGCCGCAGGGCTCGGTTTGGGGCCTGGTACTTTTCAATATTTTTATCAATGATCTGGACGAAGGGGTAGAAGGGCTACTCATTAAATTTGCTGATGATACCAAATTGGGAGGAGTAGCAAAGACCCAAGGAGATAGAGTTAAAATTCAGCAAGACCTGAATACTCTGGAGAAGTGGGCAGCTGCAAACAGGCTGCAATTCAACAAAGATAAGTGCACAGTATTACATCTGAGCCATAAAAATGTCAAGCAGAAATACTGGATGGGGGATATGTTTGTGGGGAGGAGTGTATGCCAAAGAGATCTTGGGGTGAGGGTGGACTGTAAACTAAATATGAGCAGTCAGTGTGATGCTGTCCCGGGGCTCACCGGGAGCCACCCGGGAGTCCCCCGAAGTCTCCGGGAGGGGCCCCACCCCCCTTGCTACGCGACGTCCCAGCCCGACCAACCTGCACGTCAGGCCGAGTGGAAGCGGCGGCCGCCACCACCC